GTTGTCTAGTACTTCCAGATTCTCAGTAGTTGTCTAACTTAGGTTTATTCATTATCTTAAGAGCAGTAGAAAAACTCCCTGATCAACTTTTTATCTATAATCTCCCTGTTCTTCATATCCTTAATAAGTAAATTTTCAGCTTGTATTGTTTAGGTAGAGAATAGATGTATATTTAAGTTTTATTCCTGTTAGTTGATTTCGTGTAGTTACTAAATTTACTGTAGTGTTCAAAAATTTGAAAGCATTTGCTCAAAGTGGATGTCATTGTGATGCATAATTGAATAAAACAAACGAAATAGTCTCATTAATAATGTAAAATAAAATACAGTTAACAACATCGGAACTGTTGTAGTTATCACCAACAGAATCGAAGCAACGATCACCTCATATAGCAAATCTACTGAATTTGAAAACCTGAACCCTGAGACTTAATAGTCTAGAGTCATCATGCTCACTATTGGATTCGTAGGTCACACTTACAAGTCCCATACAACGTTGCCAAAATGAAAAATTGGTATTTTTCAGATCTGAACTATGCCATTCTCATTTCAGTGTTTTTTGCGGCTGTTTTCAAAGTATGTTTGAAATTACATTTAAACCAAAAAAATCTGCACATTAAATTCTATAACATCATCATCTCAATAATAATGTAATAGAGTGAAAAGGAAATTTTCATAAGTTTCGTTAGAATCATTACTTTAGAATTATCGTCAGATTATTGATAAATTAATTTGAAATTTTCTAAATCATTCAACACTGTTTGTTTATATAATTGTCTTGCATTGTATGCGTAAACACACATTTTTCGCTTGGATACTAATAAATTAAATGACTGTTCATTTGTCACATTCTCGATCTCAACAACAATTCTTGGAATATATATATATATATATATATATATATTAAGTAGTCATAATAGTATGATAGACATTTGAATAGTAATATTCTTTCGCACAATACAAGATGATACACAAGATTTTGACTGCACTCATATCTGTCAACTAGTTATGGTATGCTACATAGATATATTGTAGGTGAATGAATGCTTCACATACTACTTACTGCCTGAGAACAGTGAATGGTAGAGATTTGTTTCTTATTTGATTGTGTCATACATGCATTGACTCCATTGCTAATTTTGTAGTAAAAATAATTTAACCTCAAATCTTCTACAATATTTTGAACCAAATTTTTAAATAAAATAGTTTTAAGAATTAAATTCTAGTATCTTTCTATTCTTGTTGTGAACTATAACATTGAAGATAAACAAAGTTTTGTATCTCAGCGGTAACTAAAATTGATAATCTTTTACAATCTGGTATACTAACAACAGTCAAATCCATTTAAAAAGTAGACACTAATTTTTGTTTGATGGATATTTATTCATATAACTGAAGTTGGAACGTATTCACGAATTCTAATGAGGACGTTACTAGATAGAAAATAAACTGGAAATGCAATGTTCCCGTTAATGATTCTCAGTACTTAACACTGCAATAAGTTGCAAGTCTTTAAGAGAAGCTAATGATTGCATACAGTAATTAACGTTCGCGGTTATTCACTTAAAACAAATTTAAAGTAAGGTCTATTCACCGGTATATTTGCAGTTATAAAATAGATAAGCTAAACGTTCAAGCAGGACCACAGCAATAATAATAATACATAACCAATCAGAATACAGAAACTAAAATGACTATCAATCTGTGTAAACACGATCAATAAAGTTGATCATCTAGGCTACAAAGCCATAATTAAATTGTTGTTTTTATACTGATAAAACAAATTGAATTACTATTTTACCTTTGTGTACTAATATGTGTTAAGTTTTACATTGCTGATAATTGACTGACTGATCATGAAATGAATATAAAAACTCATTGTTATATTTTGAGTTTGTTTAGGTAAGATTATGATATAATGGTGGGTTTCCTATATATTCTTTATTCATCGTATTAAATACAGCGACTGAATGGATGACCGAGTTTCTACTACTACTGAATTGGATACTGAATATTTTATTCCACACAATTACAAGCAGTTACACTGAGTTACTCCAGAGTATAAATCAATGAGAGGAAGTGAAATCCCATATTTAATAGTCATTAGGCTCTGTCTGTTTGTCCGTGCTCAGTGACCAATCACATTCTCCTTTCATTCGTACACTTCAAACTACTTATTACTAAACATATTGTAACTTCACTTTCTTGAATGATATTAGCGCTAAGAGCTATTGTAGATTTTTTTCCCTGTTTTTTCTCAATCATAAATTCATATTATTCAGCAATTGTTACAATCAAAAATGTATTATATGTCAACTAATAAGTAATCTTATATCATATTTTAAATTAACACTTGGTGTAACATGTTGACAATTTGTTTTCCTAACAGTATACTATACTTCTATTCGACTGTGTGAGATTTGAGATATCGATAGTGTGTATATGTGTGCGTGCAATCGAATTATCTTGTTTATGTAAAGATGAAAGGTCAGTTGTTAAGATTTCCAGGTTTATATCATTTACTGAATTTTAAGCTAATGTGTCTTTGTGTAAAAAATTTTATAAGCTTACTCAGTATAGTTCATGAATTTATCGAATAATACAATTACTAATTTGGTATTTGGAGTTTTGCAGCAAATTTGTCTGAAATGTAACTGAAATACGAAGTCTATGTTTATGTGTTCAGCTTAAGACCATTCTGTAAGTGCGGTTCGAGGAGGCGGGACAGTCATATTTTGGTGTTGCTAGAATGAATATTTAATCATGAAACTTTCATTATTTATATAAGCAATGCCATCACAAACTTCATGTAGAAATAAGGTATTTGTTCTGTTGACCTTGATATTGGAGTATGAGTTAACAACAACAGTAGATGTTATTCATACATGGAAAAATTCGAATTGTTCAGTTCTATCTGAAGTCTGTGTCGATAATGTTGTCTAGATAAATGATGAAAGTTTAACGATTAAACTTTCTATCGTACAGAAATTAACTTCGCTAAAGTAAAATGAGAATAATGATATCACCAGGATACCTAAATGCAATCGGTGGAGTAGAATTCGGATCCTCAATCTACCTGTTATAAACTAAATGCTTTAACTAATCGTCATCCACCTTACAACAGTATTCGTTTCTATGTTGTGTACTTCGATTTCGTTTAATAAGTAATGTATCAGTTAATGTACATGATGGATTAACCTTACAAACATGTGCGCAAGTGGTTATTTTTTAAAAAAAATGTTCATATACAATTACGTACTATAAGCCGGATGTATCTTTATTACACTTTTCAAGTTATAATTTGCAAACAATTCAATTATTTTTTTATGTTAATGTTGCCTTTGTTGTTTATTTAAGTAATAATTTGTAGTATATTTTGAATGATGTTTACTTAGTAGTAGTTGTATATTTCCTTTTCTCTTATTAATGCTGTTTTCCTTTTAAAAATTCACAGAGATTATCATAGATATTCTCTGCCTAGGGCAATATAATTTCATTTTACTAAAGCCGTATATTTGTTTAACACATATCATTAATGGTATATTATTAGATTATTTAACTAATGCCTCATCATGGACCAAATATTTGGATTATTTCAATTATTGAGATAAATACTACTGAAAATTGTCTAAAACGTAGCAAAAACTGAGGTAAAAGTAGTTCACTGTTACGAAGAATGGCAAACTAAGTTAAGTGAAGAAACAAACACCAGAAATTTCGAACGAATTAGCTTTTCAGATTTCTGAAGAAAATACTTTTGATTGGATAATGTTTGGATAGTCTTTTCTAGTTGGGACCTGATTCGGTAATTAATCAAGGATAAATTGTGTTACTCTAGGACCACCCAATATTGAGTTATCGATTCATTTAATTTCGTGGAATAGGTTATATCATGGGGAAATGATATGTTTTTACCAAATGCATCTCTGTGTATCATCTAGTCTGACTAATGAAAGGAGTATAAGTCAATCAACAGGTCAATTCTTTATCAACTCTGATAATTTCATCAGAATCATCCTGCAAATTTATCTGCAACGTGCTACAAATCGACTGAAACTACACTAGGATCGAATATTTTGAAAAAGGCAATGACGACTTACCAACCCGAGTTTTGACTCAGTCCAAAAACGATCTTATTACATCTTTCATACTATCATTGTTTCAATTTTTATTTTTTCATACTTCATAAAGTTTTCCAACATTCTGTTAATGACGCAATGTTACTTATAATTATGTTAAGTGTTGGTTTATTAGTTACAGCAGTCACCTTTCAGCCATTAAGCTTATAGTTCGGATCCCGTCCCACGTACTTCAGTTCAGTTAACTAATTAATATTGCCTAACCCACAACACAAACAATGTGACTTAAGGTCGAGTACAAAATCCTTTTTTACTTGCTATTTGAGTTATATCGTCTACAACTGCCTCATGTGACATTATTGAAAGTATATTTTTCGTACTTTACGTCAGACTAACCTTAGACAACCACTGAAAATCAGGAAACTAAACATCTGTTTCATCCTTGTATGAGACGCCTCAATAACAATCTTTACAACATACTGCAATCAGCCAATAACTTCGTAAAGTAATTCCAGGGGTTTCGGTGTGTAGGCGTAACCAGTAGAGTTCATTCATGTCAGATGTAAAACAAATATTATGAATAACAATGCTTGGTTTTCAAACATCGATTGCATTTAAAATGTAAGCGATTGGATGGAAGCTTAAAGGTCTAAAAATTAATCATTCGTCACAAGACCTGGAGACTCTAATTTCAATCCACAGTCGAATGATGGATGAGCAATATTGAGGAGCTCCATATTGATTGGGATCAATTCGTTGTGTAAACTGTGAAATGCAACAATCTCCATAACATTACTTCTTATCAGAAATTATGTCTTACTGTAGTGAACTTATGTAAATTTTTTATCATTTATTATTTCTTTAATTTGTTCATTGAAATTTGTTTTTTTTTTGTTTGTTTGTTTGTTTTGTTTTGTTTTAGATTGAATATTCTACAAATCCAATTGTTTGTAAATCCCTCATTGATACTAATCCAGCTGTTGAAATAATGAATAAATCTTTATATCAATTAAATATATCAAAACCATCCATTGATCATACGTTTGAACGTTTATCTAAACCAAATCCATTATACTGTATTCGACCAACTCAACATGCAGTTGATATGTGATGTAGTTATTATGGTTGAGAAAAAAATTATTATTATGATGATGATTGTGATGATTGGTTTTTAGTGTATAATATGTGTACACTAATTGTTTTTTAATCATTTTCATTTTGAGTATAAGAATGAAAATAGTTTACAACATTGATTAATTTACTATTCAAACGATCACATCATTGTTTGTATGCAGTTGGTGATAATATTGGACTTTGAATAATTATCTGTTTGGTTTTTGCTCTACTGTGATTACTAGTACTACTTACTTACTTACTTACTTACTTACTTACTTATTACAGCTTCAACTATTATTTATACTTTCCACAATCATTATATGACGTTCTTCTCGACGCTCTTGTTTCCATCTTCATATTTATTGATTTATTTTTTTTTTGTGTGTTTATATTCATGTATTATTATTACTCTGTACTAATCACCTCTGCTGCATTATGTATGACCAGCTCATTTATACAATGTATCTGATGTTGTATAGTGTTGTTATTTTTCGGCTGTTTTTGTTCACATTTAGGATTGCTTACTATACTACATACTATTGTTTATAAAGTTTTATAGGTAAATAAAGTAACTAAATTCTCTTCTTTCTACACAAAAGTATATTCAATGAAATTTAGGCTACGTTACTTACTACACATGTAGATCGAAAAACAAACATGTTTATTAACAATACTCATATATATGACATATTCAGTCTTTTATTGCTCTTAATAAAATACCTTTTACAATATATCGTTTGATTATTATTTCCTTATTCTATTTAATACCTCTTTTTTTTTAAAAAAAAAGAAAAGAAAAGAAAAGAAACAACTAATAATATCAGACTTCATACACTATACAATTTATTTCCTGACTCACTTCAAATTTTACTCTGTTTACTCTCTTACTATTTATTTATAATATTTAAGTGAGTAGGCAGTTTTATTAAATATCATTTTACCATGTGCATATCATATTATTTTGTTTCATTTTTTTTTAATTTCGTTAAAATGTTGCTTAATTACTATTTTTCTTTGTTAATAAAACTATTTTACTACTGTTAGTTGGAATAATAAAAGTAATGAATGCTCGTTGAGTATTTAAGATCTGTACATTTGATGTGCAATGCACTGTGCGTCAATACATGCGAATAAGTATATTTTCATGTTTACATTTATTGGTGAAAGGAATTCTAACTCTTGACAAGTTTTTATGATGAGAATAAAACAAATGTACAGTCATGCAGTTACTAGCCACAGAATATATATGCATATATATTAAATGTCACTTAACTTGTCTTTCTTCTAACACAATTGCGTAAAATGCTTATTATTGTTTCTTTTAAACTTTTCACTGTCACTTTTTTTTTATGTTAAATGTTCTCTATCTGTTTTTCATTCAAAACTACTTTCTCTAAACAACTGTTTCTTTGTTCAATCTATTATCGTTCTTCGACCGTTATTTTCATTGTTCTCTTCCAATTATCATTGTGGATTGTTTTTTTTTTCACAAAAAAGAGAGATTGTTTTCCTGTCGGTTTTCTCGTTTTTTTCTCTGCTAAAGTGTAAATCAATGAACCAATGTCTTTCATCATGTAAAAGATACTCTTTTTTCATAGTTGATATGATAAATTTCACTTCTCAGCAATATCTGTGAAAGTGATTCATTGACATTCTGTTCTTTTTTACAGATATTTTCAATATTTATTCATCGTATGTAAGTGCAAAATGGGTGTGGTTTATTTATTTTGAAATATTGTTACAGTTTCATAAACTGATAATGTTTTTGTTTTATGTTATGTACAACATAAAGACGGATATAACTGTATATAGTTTGCGTATATCTGGTTATGTCTTAGTGTAGAAATATAATGACATCTGACATTCCAGCATTTATCAATTTTATTCTGGAGTTTTATCTATCACTATTTTCTTTATTCACAAGACCATTGCATTCATAGTTTACTCAATTTTTCATGACTATCCATTTCGCATATTTCTTTTGTTTATGCTTCTCTAGCGATGCCAAGTGATTTCCCCAATTGTTAACTGCATTTTCTCAGTTTTTTCGTTTATGCGGATCTTGCTGTCGTTGGAACACTTTCTCTACTTTCATCTATTATGATCGCTTTTTGTCCAGTTGTTTTCTCATTTTGTTTTGTTTTTCTATCTATATGTTCATAGTGTAATATCTCAGGTGTTTTTGTGTGACCCGGAAGTCAATTAGTTTGGTTAATATGGTTATCACTTATATTTCTATGAATATTTTAAGTAATTTCTATTGACTTTGGTAATTTCAACAGAGTTACTTTCATTTTTAATCTCGCATATACATAATATAGCATTCCAATAAGCTCAAAGTAATACAGTTATACATCTGCCTACATAAACAAATGTATATTTTAACTTATAATGTTGGTATATCACTGTCGTACTCTGTATGGATATATATATATATATATATATATATATATATATATATATATATATATATATATATATATATAGATACATGTATGCTGACTTTTGCTTCTGTCTACATGTGAAGTAATTGTCTGTAAAGTTATCGGGTAAGTTTGTAAATGAAGTTAAGCAAATCAGTCAAACCTCTCCCTAGGCTGTGGATATGTTTCATTGGCCACATTTTTACGCTTTCATTTTCAAACTCATACGATTCGACATAGAAATTGTACTATCAATGTTTCAGTTAATGTTAAACTCTAGAAATGCCTAAGTTGTTGAAGGATGTTTATAAAAATAATTCATTGAAGAAAAAGAATTTTTAAACCTGTTATTCACTTCAATAAGGTTAATCAAGTCTGTAAGGATGACTTCTGACCTGCGTTGATAAAAATATATCCCATGTTTTCCAATCACTGATTCATCGTTCGGATGATTATTAATAGAAGGAATTTCATTTGTACTGATTAATTAGGACTAATAAAACGGCAAAATAAGGATTTAGATGAGGGGCTCAAATTCGAAACACTTCTGGGATGTTTCTAACAATAGACATTTTCGGGTCCAAACACTTAGTTACTTATTGTAGTTCAAGTAATCTGCCACTCCTGGTACTTTATCATACAAAAAATGTTGATTCAAAATTCAGGTACATAAGCTTTTCGGTTCTTTTTAAAAAGAGAAGTCACGTTATCTTACTGTATTATACAAGAAAGATTTTATTGATTACATGAAGAATAAATTGCTTGGGCGTTTATTATCATATATACATATACACGTATGCAAAAACCTACTATTATTGATTTGTTGACGATAGCAACGGTTTAATTATTTTATTAATGCTAACCCTACGTCTACTATGATTACTAATTTCTTTTCTGTCATTGATTTTACCTTTGAAATACGTAAAAATGCATTGAAGAAATTTTAACGTTTTCTAAAAATTAGAATTACAAACAGAACGAAATTGCTTGATATATTTGCCGTTTTTTCAAATAAACACAACACTTTCAATTGACCTTAGATCTGAAACTGAACTGAGAATTGTGAGTATTTTCCTTTATGGGTTAAGATTTGAATTTTCCTTCGAGTAGTTTCTTAAAGATTACTAACTGTTAGAGTTTGACGCTGTACTCTTCATTTTCGGTAGATATTAGAAGGTTTAAATCGGTTAGTAACATTGAACAATCTATACAAGCCCATAATGATAAGGTTTACACCTGTCACCTCTCATGGAGCATAATCCGCTGACCATCAATCTCCATTCAATTCTGTCCTGGGATCCCCTTGTCAGTTTTTCTCAAATGCTATTCATTCTTTTGATGTCTGCTGGAGTAAGCAGCCTACTGAAATACTGGTATTCACTTGGAACGCATCTGTGAGCTGCACAGTTCTGCAGTGTCGTCCTTCGTCAATATTCTGTATGATGGTGACAATCTTTTTAGGCACTCCATAGTTTCGAGGCAGCTTATACAATGTTCTGCCCAGGCTGTTATATGCTTTCTCATAGTCAAAGACTTTGATGTAAAGTGATGAGTTCCTTTCAATTGATCGGATGGTTAAATAATATCTCTGGTTAGTATTTTTTTAGCTAAGTTGTTTCCTACAGGATGACACTGCTAACCTCGTGCCTAACCCTCTTGTTTTACTCAGGCTTGGGACCGGCTGTAACCTTAGAAAGGCTCCAGGCGAAGTTATTTTGATGGCTATTATGCACTCATAAGTAAATATCTTTGATAAAAGTTTTCCATGGTTTCTGTGGGAAGTCATGACTGTTGGAGCCTAACCCCGTTGAAGAGTACAAACTAAAAGCAGTAGACGGTCAGATAATATTGTGGATTCATTAAAGTTAGACTTGTACAATATCGGACCCCGACTTGCTGGTCTAGATGTGAAGCGCTTTTGGTCAAGACCAAAGGTTCTGATCTCGGTTCTCAATGTATTCGTTTCGTACTAGGACGAAATAGATGTCTAGTTCTAAGGTTCCAGTATTTGTCTAACGTAGATCTGTTTATGGTTTCAATAACATTCCATAATCCTCACAATTTCATACTGATGATTTAAATAGTGTTTTCTTATGTTTAATTATATGTGTGTATTGGAAAAGTGTCAACCAACGCGTTTTAATTGTTTTTCTTTATTAATAATGCGCATTCCCGTAAATTCAAATGCTGAATATGATAAACTTAGCAGTAATCCTAGATTCGATACTGTTAGCTATTTAAGGTGTTATCTTTTAAGACGTACTAAACTAGTATGGATGGTGGTTCATGATTTGTCTTCTAAAAAAATATCCCTTTCTGTAAAAACACTCCATTGATACAATGATAGGAAAGAACAGCTAAACATTACAGTTATCTTCCTCGCACTTTGCTTATGTAAAATAACAGCTCTGCTGAATACTATAATTATTAGTACAGTAAATAATTCTCAGCATCAATTATAAAATATTACTCTAACATAGAATTTTTAATTATTCAAGGCATTTTATTACTTAGTACCTTTCACTCATTTTTGACTATTCGTCTTTTATCAGTTCATCTGTAACATTTTAAA